AATTCATAATTTTATATCTTTGTGTAGCATACCACAAGGATATTTGTGTGAAATTCATTACATATTAATGTCTTTATTGGCACAGTTTAACTGGGTTGGATTTTCTCTAAGTTCCTAGTTTAGAAACATTAGTGTTCTGAAACCAGTGAATACCTAATATAAAAGATGCCAAGGTGAACTAAATATTTACTTGTCAAAACACCTCACAATTCTGGTATAGAATAGATTTCATCTAATGAAGATCATTTATGTAAAGGGCCCTTTTCAACAGCAGTCATTCATTTTGAGAACTAATGGAGCTATATATTTCTAATGCCAACCATCCTTTGGCAACCATGCCTTCTCCATATTTATGAATTATGAATAAAAGTTAGATCATGGTCCATGTAAATATATAACTGGGCCTCTCGGTATCACGAAAGAATGAAGTAGCTTCAAGTCTTATCAGGTAAATTCTCCCTGTTCTAGAACCAGCATCAACCCTGCCCTGGCTTTGGTCTGCCGCCCTTTTTCTGTTCAGGCCTGATCCACTTTCTCCAGCCTTCAGAAAAATGATCTTATTAGAGGCTGAGTACGTAAAAACAAACAAACAAATCTTGGTAATACAAACAACACCCAAAGCAAATGACAAAACTCATATCTAAACTATTTTATGCTTTCTTATTATATGTGTCCACTACATTTAGATACTTCTTTAGAAATGTTTGTATCATATCTGATATAAATTGGGATTTAGAATTGATTAGCAATTTGAACAGTTCTTGTGGTTTACTTTCATTCTGCTTTATAATTACTCCTAGCAATAAATTTCAATACTTAGAATTCTATTTTGAATGTGAATTTTTTTTAAGTACCCCAATTTGGGTTCAACATCCAGCAATTCTAACTCTCTGTGTTACTTTAGGGGAGCTCACAGTGCAACATGGTGCTCCCCATACAGATAACCCAGTATAGAGAGCATTTGGACTTTTGCACTGGCAATTCCTCACAGGCTTTAGCAGAACCTGTGAGGAAAATATGAACTCAGTGTCAGGCAAAGAGCACTAAAAAGTACTACAATACCAGGCAATAAAATACGCTGCTGCAGTCGGAATATTTTAGTCTGGTCATATCTAAAAGCCATTTCCCGCAGGGCACTGGTTCATTTGAGGATGGCAGAAAATGTCAGTCAAAATGTCAAGGCAGGAAGTCCCTTGACTCAGCCCACCTGCTAGATAAACTGCTGCCTTTAGCCTCAGAAAGCTTTAATGTAGCTGCCAACATCTATACATTTTTTAGAGTTTCTGGTTTTCCCATCAGATCAGCTTGACTCAGCTCCCAATAAAAGAGTTCCTTGGCTGTCAATTCAGCTTCATCAAAACAATCGCTGATCTTTGCGCCAAGGTGTCTCATTTTTAAGAAACAGATTTATAACATCCGAAGTCTAATAGAAAAGCCTGTTCAGTTATGTATGTGTATGTATTCACATGAATATGCACAGGCATATAACTACATATAAATTTAGAAATATATGTTGTAAATTAATTCTTTCTAGTGACTTATGCTTAGCAAATAAATGTTATGTGAGGCAATTTAATCATCTTTGTGAACATGCTTTTAACCATAACTCACTAGTAAAATGTTAAGTAAAAAAAGTTACATACACACTATTCTGTCCATGTACCTTCACATTCATACTGTAAATAGCAGTATTATATTTTTGCACAAGATGACCTTTGGGACCCTTTAAAACGCTACACAAATAAGGACCGTACTTAAGAACTACAGTATAAAGCAGTGATTCTGGGTCACGAACCCTTTGGGGTTGTGTCGTGACGGTTCACGGGGGTCCCCTAAGACCATCAGAGAATACAGATATTTATATTATGATTCCTACAGTTGCGGAATTACAGTTATGAAGTAGCAACAAAATAATTCTGTGGTTGGGGGCTCAGCACAGCATGAGGCGCTGTATTAAATGGTTGCAGCATTGGGAAAGTTGAGAGCCACTGGGATAAAGTTTATTGTCTCAAAGGTGCAGCTAAGTACTTTAACACCAACTGCATTTTTAGAGACATCAGAAAGCAGGTGAAACATGAAATAAATCAAAGAACACATTTCTTTGAGCAAGGAGAGATTCCTTATCATACCGACCCCATTTTTTTTTAATAGAACTGTCACCAGCCAGATTTAAAATCACTATATATATTTTTTTAAGTTTAAAAACAGTGAAAAACGTGACTTGGGACAGGAAAAGTCTGTAGTAGAGAGAAGAGCAAAAACACAAGCAACAGAGGAGCTGGCTGAAGGATTCCTCACATTTTCAAGGCTATGTTGAGACACAAAACACTACCAATCGTTTTGTCTTCTGCAACTTAAAATAGGAAGGTATTAGTGTGCAAAATGAGGTAGCAATTTCATTTCCCATGCTCTCACTGATTTATTACATAGTTAGCACTGCTGCCATATTATTATTAGGATCAAAGACACTTAAAAGAGAAATGAATTAAGAAAGTGACTAATGTTGGAAGAGGCAAGAGCAATGAGTAATTATGTTCTCAGGGGAAGCCATAGTCACCTGTATTCAGGAAAGGATGCACAGAGCATGAAATCCCCAGTGTCCGTTGGCTGAGGAGAAGTATCTAGTATCTAGTGCCTTCAAGTATCTAGTGCCCAGGCTGTCCCGATTAAAATGTTTGGCTTATTCATACTAAATCAGGAAATTCAGATTACAGGGGAAATAGGTCACGGGTACACAATGAAATGTCTTGCTTCAAAGGCAACAAAGACACACTTAACAATTTTGGAGGAACAGCTTTAGAGTCTGAGTGGAATCTTCATCTCTCTCAATTTTATCTGCATAAAATGTTTTCAGAAATACTGTCATCCTTTAGCTGCTGACTTGACTTTTGCAGTGTTTTATGATATATTATATTGCCTAAAATATTTCTAGTTAAATGGGTGTATATTATACAATCCAGTTTTAAGTGTTTTTAAAACACAGAGGAATTGGCAGTCTAAGTAATGTCATTATTTCTTGAAATTAGAATCGGATAGACAAGTTAGTACCACTCAGATGTGTTCCTAAATTATGTAAAGTTATTGGAGAAAAATAATTATGCTGAGTCGCCTAATTATCATGTGCTAGTCCGGGTTGGAAGATTTCAGATAGCCAGTCTCAACTCTAATACATATGTGATTCATGCCTGTGCTTTAGGACTTACCACAATTCATCATGGGAATTATTTTTTGTTTGTTTGTTTTTAGCTACATAAAGAAAGAGACTTTTTTCGTGGGTGCAACTAACTCTCGTGGCACCCTAACGTTTAGCACGCTGACAGTCACTTGGGGCAGACTTCATTCCTGCAGCTGAATTAGACATCACACACTAGAATGCTAATTCTAGTGATTCTAAGATTAGCATTAGTATCGCTCAATGCACTGGCACCATACAAACAACGTGTGTATAAGCGACATGTAAAAGAATTGGTGAACTGTCATTTCTACTTTAAAGATGCTTTTCAAACTTAGTAAGATATTTTGCTGCAGTTTTATCAAACACCCAAATCATTTAACTTTAATTATCTCAGTAAATTTTAAATGCTAAATTTACACTGACTACAGAAGCTCACTAGTAATCAGAGTTAAAATAATCTGTATTTAAGAGTAGAGTTTACCGTGATGCTTAAATCAATATTTCTCTGAAGCTTGACTACGGGGTCCTGAGAATCTTGGTTTATAAATGATCTTCTGCCACAAGAATGGTTAGAATCAAACATTTGGAACAATAGTTTTGTATAAGACGTCATGAAGATTGTTTCCCATTAGAAATAAAGATATTTGAACATATGATCTTAATGTAGATAAGTTTCCTGAGAAAAGAATTCCCGGAAAGTGGGAAAGGTGTTTCTCTTGATTATTAATAAGGTTATTTTCCCTACAGGATATACATTACCTATAGTCATATCTGACCTCAGCAAGCCTGAGGTCAATACACATACAAATAAAAATATATTAGATGATTTAAACTCAGACCTAAGTATCCATAAATGCCAGCCAGCACACCTGGGGTGCAGATAGGCTGGCCTCAGTATAAACACTGCTGTGTACACATTCTTGTACTGTCCTTAAGAAACTACATTCATACTGTGCCTTTAAAACCCAGGGTCCCCTCATCACAGACTCCACATCTCAGTCAGGATGGCCTGTGCAATGGCAGTACAGTATTCCCTGTCTTCCCTGCTTCTGTACCCTTCCATGCAGGACAGGCTCGCATCCCTCATCCTCTGCATCTTCTGCTTAGAGCACCTTCTAGCTCACCCAACCTCATGACCCAATTCCAGTCCACACTTCAAGACCAGACTTTGCTGGAAATGTCCATGATAGCCAGCTCCTCAGCCCTGGATTAGAGTCCTGTAAACTACACCTAAAGCTCATGTGGAAATTGCTCTGTTTCCTTTTTACTTCCTCTTCAGTGTGTTGTCCTTAAGAGCTGTGACTTACTCATCCATTATCACATTCTTATGACAGAAATCCAATGAGTCAGCTCGGATGAGAAGAAAATATTTTGAAGTTGCAGAGGCTTGATTTCATTGCCTGTAAAATGGGCTCACACTACTTACTTTGTGGGATTATTAATAAGCACTCAAATACATACTTGGTGCTTTTTCTAAGTCCCCTGCATACATTGCCTTATTGCTTGTAAGGTACAACCCTATGCAGCAGTGTTAGCATCCATACTCCACAGTATAAAAACAATTAAAACCACAAAGCTGCACAGTTCATAAAGACATATTTAGTCACTAAGTCACTGTTTCTGGGCCACTCTTAAATCCTGTAAACCCCAAGTCCTATTCTTACATTCTATTTTCCCCAAGTAACTTCTTAATCACAAAATTATTCATTTGATTTCTAAAATATAATACCTGAGATAGTCTTCTACAAAATTGAGAATACTCTATAGAGTTTTAGCAAGAACTGAGACATGTCTCTTTTTCTATGTGAGTCATATTAAAATATACCTCGAGGGGCCCAGGGATGTAGCTCAGCAGTAGAGGATTTGCCCTGGGCTGATCCACGGTGTTGTAAAACAAAGTTGATATGATATCGGTGAAGCTAGTTAGTCTGAGGAAGCCCGCTCCTAGGTTCTGTGAAAGAAATAAAACAAGCAAAAATCACCTCTTAAGTACTGTATCTAAAATAATACCATCATAATCCATGCCCTGTCTCAACACAGAAACGCAAAAGATATATAAATCTGCTGAATAGTTAAAGTATGGGGAGGAAAGCAAGAGCCAAGATGGGAGGCTGTGCAATGTCACCCAAGTGAGAGTGCACAGGAGGAAACACAAGGAGATCTAGGAGAAAGTGAGGGAAAGTTGCTGATGCTGGAGCATGTGTTGGGAAAGGCGAAGGAGCAGGGGAGGGCTAAATCGTGTAGCTTTGAGCATTTGTGACACATCCACAGCTTCTAACACTGGCCTTTCACAAACACAGGCCAGTGTAATCTGCTCTCACCTCATTCTCAGCTCTAAGTATGTATATGTTTTGCTTAAATGTTCACTGCAGCAGATCATGCACCATTGTGCCAATCACAATTTCAGAAACCTTTATTTATTTGCCAGGTATTGTTTGAATGTGAAAATAAAATAAAATAAAATGACGCAAGTAGCCTTTCTGTGGCTGCATTGTTTGCCTGAGCTGTGATTGGATATGGTCCAGGAATGCCTTTAAGATAGGCTGAGACATAAATAAATATGTAATGTGTATTTTGAAAGAAACTCTGAGAGAAGTCACATGGCTTCATGGTTCTAATTGACCTTAGAAATCAGAGCCCAACCCCTTATTTACAAAGAAAAAAAAAATTCTAAGACTGAAGGAGGTCAAAGGACCTGCTGAAGCTCACCAGACTAGTTACTGGCAAAGCTACAGGCAGAAAAAAAGTAGAATGCTCATTCCTACTCCACTGATCACTGTTTGGGCCGTTCTCTCTCACAGTAGATCCAGAACACTCCCAGATAACAGCAGTTGGTGCTTCAACATACTCTAAAAATACATGATTTTTCCTATATAGACTAACCTAGCCCTAGCCTGAATGTACCTTTGTCATCCGAGGCACTCAAGTTAACATTCCAGAACTGTGTTTAGTAAGAAAAATTTTAATCAAATATGCAGTATCAGTTGTTAAGCAAATTAGTTCACCTGAACAACTTCCCAGATCTTATCTGCCTGATGTTCAGTTTCTTGGGTCAGGAACCAGAAAACATAATGACTGTCTTTCCCATGGGTGTTTTGAAATGGTGCTGTGAATAATAAGATTCACATTTAATAATTTAAAGACCTAAATTCACAGTGAAGCTGTTAGGGAACCCTTAGCTTATGATCTGGTAGGATAAAGCTAAGCTAAAACCATCTCCCTCCTTCTCCGCAATTCAATCAGTTTTCCATTAGTGATTCCAGACAATTTTTTTAAATTGTTATTTCTAAAGCGAAACAGTTACTGTACCATTCTATGAGACAATGCTCTCTGCTAATGGTAGATATTGAGCCCAGTGCCTGTTTGTTTGCTTTGACCAATATTTGCAATTGAATTATTACTTTGACAAACCCATTTCAAACATTTCAGTACAAACTAACATTTACCAACACTTAGAAAAACAACTTGGAATGATCTAGCACTTTCACATAGACATCTGTTTTTAGTGTGGATGCCTGGAGATAAAAGGACATAGTTACTAAATCTGACTTATAGTCTTGGAGTCTATTAAACCATCTGAACAGTGGGAATACCCACATGAAAATATAACATATGATAATAGATAATGTAATTTAGAATAAGGTTAATTTATTTGTTAAATCTGTGAGAGAATTGCTAAGGTTTTCAGCCGTTGCTTCCTTAACTAACTTAGGAGGTCATGGGGCAAAGCCACATGCATAGGAATCGACTAAGTAGGTAGCATCTGGCAGAGGCCAACTTGGAGACTCTCCCAGAAGCAGAAACAGAGCTGGGAGGGACAGAGTTGTTATTTAGGCAAGAGCCAGGGGAAGTCAGGCAAGGCAAGTACTAGCTGGCAAGGACCACTGTTTTGGATAGCCAGAGCCCAGCGTCCAAGAAGACTGAGTCGAAAAGGAACCTCCATGACAAAGATAACAGTAAAAGATGATCCCATTTGCTTTTTCCCCTGCTGTGGGCCCTTGATCACAGAGTGCTACCAGAAAGGTCAGAAGTCTGTCGGAGTTCTGCCTGTCACTGAGGCAGAGGTAGCAGGAACACCCACTCACCTTGGGCCAAGGACTTTCAGGACTTTGCCAGTTTAGAGCACAGCTTAGAGACGTCTATGACTGACCAGCAGCCGGCTCCGAAAGGAGCTCAGTATGTTCACTTATGACACTCTTGACAGCCTGGCTCAGCTGGTGGCACATAAATGTGTGAGGTAGCGAAATATCTTAAAACTAATTTCTTGATTTTACATTCCGATCATAGCCCCTCCCTTGCCTCCTCCCAGGCCCATCCTCTTTCTTCCCCCAACCCCCTCCCCTACCAACTGACCCCAGACTATCAAGTCTCATTAGGACTACCTGCATCCTCTTCCTCTGTGGCCTTGCTAGGCCACCTCCCCCAGGGGAAGTGATAGAAGAGCAGGCAACAGAGCCCTGTCAGAGACAACCCTGCTCCCCTTACTAGGTTACCTATATGGAGACTGAGCTGCCTATCAGCTAAATCTGAGTAGAGGGTCTGGGTCCTCTCCATGCACGGTTTTTGGTAGGTGCATCAATCTTTGCAGGGCCCCCTGGGCCCAGATTTGTTGACTCTGTTGGTCTCCTTGTGGAGCTCTTGTTATCTCTGGGTCCTTCTATCCCTGTCCCCTACTCTTCCATAAGACTCCCTGCTTTCTGCCCAAAATTTGGCTGTAGGTCTTTGCATCTACTTCAAGCCCCTATTGGGTGTAGTCTTTCAGAGGACATCTATAGTAATAGGTTCCAATCAGGTTCCTTCTCTTAAACCATTTCCGGTGCCTATTCTATTTGCTCATCTCAGTGAGAATTAAGCATCCTCCCTATGGTCCTCCTTGTTACTTAGCTTCTTGAGAGCTGTGACTTATAGTATGGTTATTTTGTATTATATGGCTAATATCCACTTATAAATGAATATATACCATGCATGTCTTTCTGCTTCTGCGTTATCTCACTCAGGATGGTCTTTTCCAGACATTTGCCTGCAAATTTCATGATGTCCTTCTTGTTTTTAATAGCTGAATACTATCCATTGTATAGATGTACCACTTTTTCTTTATCCATTCTTCAGCTGAAGGATATCTGGGTTGTTTCCAGTTTCTGGCTATTACAAATAAAGCTGCTATGAACATAGTTGAACAAATGTCCTTGCTGTGTGGTAGAACATCTTTTGGGTATATGCCCAGGAGTGGTAGAGCTGGGTCTGGAGATATAGCTGTTCCCAATTTTCTAAGAAAGCACCATACTGATTTCCAAAGTGCTTACAGAAGCTTACATTCCCACCAGCAATGGATGAGGGTTCCCCTTTCTCCACATCTTCTCCAGCATGTGCAGTCACTTGAGTTTTTGATCTTGGCCATTCTGATAGCTGTAAGATGGAATCTCAGTGTTTTTTTGTTTTGTTTTGTTTTTTTTTTTTTTTTGCATTTCCCTGATGACTAAGGATGTTGAGCATTTCTTTAAGTGTTTCTCAGCCATTCTAGATTCCTCTGTTGAAAATTCTCTGTTAACTCTATAACCCATTTTTAATTGGATTATTTGGCTTGTTGATGTTTAACTTCTTGTGTTCTTTATGTATTCTGGATATTAGCCCTCTGTCAGATGTAGGGTTGGTAAAGATTTTTTTCCCAGCCTGTAGGCTGTCGTCTTGTTCTGATGACAGTGTCCTTTGCTTTACAGAAGCTTTTCAGTTTCATGAGGTCCCATTTATTAATTATTGATCTTAGGTCTTATGAGTCTTTGGGAGAAAGCCACAAGGGTGTTGAGAGTGGACCTGGTAAACCTGGGAAGTATTATTGGGGTGCATTATGTGAAATTCCCAAATAATCAATAAAAGTACTATGTTGGATTTAGAAAGTACTAAAAGATAAGTGGTGAGTCTATTTCAGAAGTTGTGTAACCTTGAGATAACACATTGTCTTCTTCAGAGTAGTAAAGTATTTGAAAACCTGTGTGGATAATTAACCCAAAAATAGTCCTACTGGATCAACGATATTAAATGGTGAAAATAGTAAAATATATCTCATAAATTCTGGCCAGTCATATCACAACAGATTAAATTCATTATAGAAGGCCTTTAAAGCTACCAAATACTATAATAAATGTGGCTGTAACTGTGATGACTGCTCAGATTTTGGTCAAACGACTAAGGTTTGAGCTTCAGTGAGGCACTGTGTTTCACACGTGGACTCTCAGCACGTGGATCACCATGTGCTGGAGGATCCCCATGGTGTGGAGGCTAACCTGTTCTGCACAGTGTGTTCTAGGCCAGCCAGGGCCACACAGTAAGATTTTGTGTCAGGGGGAAAAAAAATCAGCTGTCTTTATTGCCAGAGATGGCTGTAGCCCACTTGATTGAAGTGTTACAGTGCCTAAGAAAATCCCTTCCAAAATGCATCCAAGACGACCAAGAACCTCCTCAGCCTGCAGAGGTGAGGCAAGCAACAAGAGAGAAGAGATCCAGCTGAGGTGCGCATCCTCAGGTTAGCCCCTGGCTGGCCTCCGCTCAGCAAAGCACAGTGGTCCTCATCTGCACAATGCAGCACAGGGCATTGTGAGGTAAGCCTCTTCCTACAGGACACAGGTAGGGAAAGCCCTTTCCTCTGGGCCTCTGACAGTGGTGTTGCCCCGTTATCTGACAGGACTTCATTACTTTGTTTTAATTATTTAGATAGCCATAATCAGACAAATGTTGTTATGAGCAACCATAAATAGGTGCCTCCTGGAATCATTCACTTTATCCTCTCATTTAGATGATACTGTGCATGATTGTATATATATACACATATATATTCCACATATTACAAATATATGTATGTAAGTTTGGCATAGTTAGTTCAGGCGTGTGTACTTGAACTTGCAAATACACACCCATGCAACTCTAAACTCAGGCAAAAAAATGCTTTATTAGGTCTCCTGCTCCAGAGAGTCTCTTTGCCTTTTATTTGACCACCCAGAGCAATCCATAACCAAAGGGTTATGCCCACCAGGATAGCAAGGAGGCACTCCTCACGTGCTCCTTGCTTTCTTGGGTTACCTGGGACCTCAGAATCCCATGTCCAAGCATCACTGATCCTGCTCCAGTGTCTGCCCCAGATCACTCCCAGGTGTGGTCTGTTCTGTCTGTGTGAAACACTGTAAGGCCTGAAAGATGCTCACCTGGCAACAGAGGCAGGAAATTTCAAAGATCTGCATATGTGAGCAGGAATGGCCATAGGCATCAAACACAGAGCTACAGGGGTATCAAAAATCTAAGTTGGAAATGTTCGTGAGCTAAATTTTTAAGGTAGAAGTGTAAAAAACAGAAAGTATTTCATTTAAATGTATTTACCATGAGTAATAATTCCATATGTTGTATGTGGATCTCTATTTGTACTCCTTTGTTTCTGGGCCCATAAATCTTGGGAGTAAGGCTATCTATAGCATATAGAGATTTTCTTTTTGCTGATGTTGATTGTTTCTGTATAAATCTCCAGGAGGATAGCAGAAGACCTCGGATGTTTGAAGTGTACGCTAGCCTGCGGTCGCATATGGAGAGTCCTCGTTATTTTGAGTTGTTTTCCCAACACGTCTCGGCATAATATTCTACAACCTGTTTAGTCGAAACCTCGTCCCATGCAGCCCCACCTTCCCTGCGTGGCACAGCTTGAGCTGGTGACTCCCTTGACACTGGCATTTCAGCAGGTTTAAAGGAAAGGGTCGTTAGGACTCAAAACAGTGGTTTTTTTATTTTGTTTTTAAGTAAATTCTATACCTCATCACAGGGTAGGTGAAACTGGGGTGGGGGGGGGGGAGGTTACTCAGCTCAACAGAAATAACATTTTCACAACTTTTCTTCCTGGCCTTATTTTTTTTCTTTTTTAAATCCAAACACACAAAATGCGTTTCGAAATTTTTAAGCACACAAAATGAAGACGACCCAAAGAGAAACAAAATTGAACTCCTCCTGGAATCATTGCAATATTTATCTCAAACACTTCCAAGCCATAGTCATAATACTTTAGTGCCTACTTATTGAGAATTAGCTACAGGGGATCAAGGGACAAACATACAATTCAGTGTGGAACATAAGGAACAATAACTACTAAGCAACAGGCAACAGTGGCTGGTTTGTTTGTTTTCTGTGGTGCTGGCGATTAAACTCACGCCTCCTCCATGCTGGACAAGCACTCTAGCACTAAATGGTCACTTCAGTCTGTTTTTATTTCTATTCAGGTAGAGTTTTGCTGTTCTGCCCAGACTGGCCTCAAACTTGTAACCCTCCTACACCAGTCTCCTGAATAGCTAGGATGGCAGATGTGCACTCCTACAGTTGGCCAGGAAAATAATCTTCATGCTAGTCCAAAGCAGAGGAATTATTTTACCTTTATTAGTGAATAGAATGGATGTATATGATGAAAAGGCAAGAGGGTACTGTATAACCATCATGGTACTTTTTTTGTCTTGTTTTGTAGGTATGGGGCTGGGGCTGCCCTCCAACATGCAATCCTCCGTTCTTAGCCTCATGTCATTTAAATTGTTTTACTCTCTACATGCCTCAGTTACAGTTTCCTTCACAGTCAGCCCCACTTGGGAGTGGTTAAGCTAATGGATACCTGCCTTATTTACCCCAGTACAGAGAGCAGGTGTCTGTGACCTCAGGGATACGTGGTAAAGATGAAGATTTGGGGCATTCTGGAATATTCTAATTTTAAGTAGGGAAGGTATTATATCACTTTGCTTTCACATACCTAGGCCATTAAAGACTAGACAAACACCAAGGAAGTCTGAATTAGTGACTGCAAACATGAGGGAGACCAGGCATTGATGTTCCAGATGCTGCTTCAGAAGAGTAAGGCAAAACACTGTAAGAAAACACTGTGGAAAAGGAACTGCGTCTTCAGAGCCAGCAGGTATTCTTAAATATTAGCATTTAGTGGGATCATAGTGCACGAGCAACAGCATCTAATGTTCTGACATCAACCATAGTGAGTCATTAAATTGCCAGAGCCGTATATGGCATAAATGATGAGCTGACCACATTGTACACATCCAGTGTGTCATAACTGATGATGCTCAAAGTACATGCTCATAAGCCATCTGGATTCCTTAGCATACAGTTCTCTGAAATTTAATCATCCCAGGGACAATGTTCATTACATTCCATATGTCAACATATTTTAAACCTGGTTACCATAAATCATGGGAGCCTCACTATTCTAAACTACTCACGCCATTAAATCCCTAGTGTAAAATCTGAACCATAATGTGGTCCACAGATTATGATTTAGAGGAAGAAGGGGCATACATTTGATGAAATTTGTTGAATTGGACCAAAGTATAGCATCAGAAGTTATACTTGTATAAGGATACAAGGATGTAAGGGGAGGGTGAGGGCTCAGCTGGTGAGGCACTTGCTATTCAAGCATGAAGGTGTAAGTTTTGATCCCCAGAACTCACATGCAAACTGAGTGTGGCGCTCTCCCTATGACCTCAGTGCTGGAAGGCAGGAGGTGAGGAGGTGAGGGATCCCTGTGGGCTTTGAAAACACCATGGAAGGTAAAAGTCTTACTATTCCATTTGTATGGGGAACATAGAACAGTGAAATCCATACAGCAAGAAATTAGATGGTACACAATTTTGAAACAGTGTGCATTTATCTTTAAAACCATATTGCAGTGTATTCTTTAAACTGATGTTTTCTTTGACGTGTAAATATACTTTTATATGGGCTTTTTAAAAAGTAAATCACAGCTGACAGCCAAAATATTTCTTCTGTTCCACATAACAGCACTCTAGAGGAGAAAGTGACGTCTCCTGGGCGTACAGTGTACAAAGGCAAGAGAACTCTTCTCTCAAGACCATTTGGATTCAGAAGCAGGACAGACAGAAGCTCACACACTTTCATCTCCTTGCTGCCTTTGACTCTGAAAATCCTTTCATTGGCTACCCTGAAAAACCAGCCATGAAGGCCCTTAGCCAAACAGGAACACTATCCATGGAAAGGCACAGTCCATTAACTTCTTAACATTCATATGAATAAGCTTATGAACTTCTCCAGGCATTTCACTGAGGCCCTGGAGGAACAAAATGTTAATTAAAATTTAAGGGAAGAGAAAAAGATTTGGTACTTGGCATCCCTCCTAATGCGGTGATTTTTAGAAGAACAACCTGAGAAACAGACAGAAATGTGGAATGGCACCACATTTCTGAGAATGGCCTTTTGCTGGTCATACTTCCCCTGCCTTGCTCACCCCTCGCCTCCGTGTAAATCAACAGTGCCCACCCCGGCTGCAGTAAGTTATACAATTTCACTCTTTTCTTCTTTATGCTTTAGTACAAGAGCAGTAAATCTAGGATTATAAATCATAATCCTTGGCAGAGAAAAAGCCTCTGAAGTGTTTTTAAGAAGGGCAGCGCCATGATCAGCTGCTTTAGAATTACCTCCCTAGCCGGGATGTGGAGACAGATTTATGAAGAATGAGACTCAGTGTAGGGAGATAGGGAGACACGAGCAGCCCTCCAAAACAGTATAAAGATTTCAAAGTGAAAACAGCTACAATGGACATAGAGGCTTATCTAAACTTCCCTTATCTGGCTGAAACAGAGCTTTATGAGAGTCAGCTGCCACAAATTGCCAGGAAGTCTCCTGTCAGGGAGGCAACTGGCTTTGACTGGGGACATTCCAAGAAATTGTATCAACAAGCCTCATTAGAGCCTTCCCCATTTGGATCTCCCAAATCCCTCCTGTTACATGCCCTTACCCCTGATTGCTCAAGGAGTCGGGCATTGGGTGCTCCCCATGCTTTGAACGTGTACAGTCCCCCTCCTTACCTATTGTCTATTGATTTGCAGTCAGCACCCACCTCCAAACCACTGACAAGAGCTGGTGGATTTTCCTCTCTTTCCAAACAGTGGGTTGAGAAGCCTTCATAGTCTTTCTACTGGAAAAGCAGTAGCTGCAGAGCGAGGTATGAGCGTGGAGTCAGCAGAGCCTTCCAGTCCAGGGTACAGGGAAGAAACTGAAAGAGAGAGAGTCTTAGCACTCTCTCAAGAACCCTTCGAAAGGGATTGTTCTCCTGGCTTACAGAACTGCCAAAACATAAGGTGACCAATGAAATCTTGCATGTCTGTGAATGTGGGGACACACAACTTAAAAGGCAAGTGACAGAATTCTTCACTGAGAAAACCTGACCTCTTCTGAAAAACAAAACAAAACAAAACAAAACAAAAAAAGAGATGTCATAGTAAGATGATGTCTGTTCTTTCTGTTTTGGGAGAAGAGTTAAAATGTGCTAAGGAAAACAAACAAAAAAGGCCCCAGCACATTGTGTGTTGCCTGGTAATAAAGGAGAATGTTTGCTTCAATTGGATATGAACGAGGCAAGTGTTTAAGCTCAGAAGAAGCAGAGAGGAAAGCAAAAAGTAAAAAAAGATGAGCCGAGGAGGCATCAGAGCTAAGTCCTGAGCAAAAATGCTAAGATGGCCAGAGCGGTTAGTGAGCAAGGAATCTGGTGTTCTGTTTAAAGTTGGGTGAGGGGTTGGGCTTGACAGAAAGTCCTTTAGCTTCATTTCGGACATAAAGCGACTGCTTCCCTACTCTCAATAAGTACTCACACTATGAAAGTTACTTTTGAAGAGGAATATACTAAAATGTCTTATCTTAAAAAAAAAAAAAGTCTTATTGTTGAATTCTCCAGTGGGGACTCCTTGAATCAAGGCAGTTTAGAAAAATAGATGATGTTCTTAAAAATTATCCTCATGAGTTAATATTTTATACAGTTTTAGTCTTCATTCTGATTTCCACAGACCTATGGAGTTACCTTACTATTTCCTGAGTCGCCAGCTTTGTGGTTCTCACACAAACCCAAAGCAAAATCGCATTGCTTTATTTCTCTGATTAGACCAATTAGGTCTCTAGTGGTGCCTTAACTTTCAAATAATACTTTGAGAAACAATGAGTGCTTTGAGAAGCAATGAAAGCCGCAGGTGCATGGTTGAGAGTTGCCTGTATGTTCTACCTTTTTCCAAGAGAGGCTGTAAAGCCGTTTATGCTGGGACTACAACATGCTTACATTTTAACCTTCACATGAGTCAGGTCTTGTAGGTTCCCAGTCTTCTTGGCTCTGTCATCTGCCACACACAGCTCTCTGCAGTGACTAAAGGTGCTCAGGAGTTCACTGGGCACAACAGACCATCATCTGCCTGCTGGACCAGACAGGTGACAGTTTGAATGAAGAGGGTTCCCCCACCCTTTGAAATCTTGTTTAAATTATCACCAAAACTGGTTCCCAAAACCACTCAATGGAAAGGCTGTGCAGAAAGATGCCTCATGACAGTAAGTCTGAGGTGGAACTTGTGCATACAGGGTTGGCCTTCCAGACTATAGTTTGTTCATTTTGCAAAACAGTGTCTTTCTATATTACCTTGAACTGGCTCTACAGACCAGGCTTGTTTAGTTAGTTAGTCAAGCTTCTGATCCTCTTGCCTCAGTCTCCCAAGTGCCATGCCACAGAAAACCAGTAAGTAAAGTTAATTGCTTTAGCTCTGTGGTGAAAAGGAAGTTTTGGCAGTGGCTATACAAAGTAGGAAGTAGACAAAGCATTTCTGGTGTTAGACATCAAAATTCAGGAAATGAAACATAACCAGCTTTTTTTTTTTTTTCTATCTACAGTCTACTCCTGATATTGTTAGAAACTGACCTGGTATTTTACACTCATCAGATCTCTCCAGCCAGTTTTCTCAGAGATGTGCTTTTTGCATATACCTTTCATTTCAGGAAAGCTAGAGAACTACCCTAAAGACACTTACTAGGAAAATTTACTCCAGCTCTTAGGCCATTGAAAAGAAGTCAGAATATAGCAGAGTAGATTCCATTTACTTGTGTGCATGGAATGGAACTACTGAAAAGAAATTTTTTGCAGTATTTTATCACTGGAGTATGAACACTTGGAACCGTTTGAACGGGTGGCCACAACAAGAGACTTGATGAGGAGTAAGCGCATCAGCCACAAAAATTAGGAGAAAATATGCAAACTTCATTTTGCTAAGTGGAAGTAAGTGCTACTGTTGGCTGCTGACATAAAGTTAACTGCTGTATCTTCAGAAACCAACACATGGAAATGCTATTTCTTTTTCCCATTCTGAAGCAGAGCAGCATTCATCGCTTGAAACTGGCAAAAGTAGGTAAAATAAGAAACCACAATTCAGAGTTTTTCTGTCAGTTTCAAATATATAAACATACATGAAACTTAACCAAAATAATTGGCATAGCTAATAAAATTTTTGGGTCATGGACTTTAGCTGTTTGCTGCAATTCTGAGAGTGGGAGAAATGAGAAACTAGAATTCCTGACATGTCTGCCTCCTACTGCCCTTTCTCCACAGTAAAGGTCACAGAATTGCTTCTGTGTTGCTTTGCAGCAGATTGGGCTATAAATTACTGCAGGGAAGAGACTGTAGTCACCTAGAGACACTTGTTATCTTACCTACAAAAACTGAAAGCCAGGGGACTGAAATGAATTGTGTAAAGTCACAAAGCTAAAATTAGTGGAAAAGGGGTTAGGTAACATGGAGCAGGAAGAACTTTTTCTGTTAAATATCCATTGTTATTAGCATAGCATTAACTCAGGAAAAGATTAATTCAGGTAAGCCAGTAAAAAAAATGTTTGGATTCATTGTTTCAGAATATAGTGAGGATGGGGGAGGGGATGAAAACAGTATTGGCTATTGGCTTACAGGACACGTAGGACAACATATGGGTTTCAGTTTTTAAGTCTTTAGGCCAAAATCAAAATTACATGTACAGCCTTGGTAACCAGAAAAAATTCCTGTTTTTGGAGTACTTGTAGAAACCTGAGTTAGTCATAAGCTTCTTAGGAAAGAATTCATCCTTTGTTTGATTCTGCAGTGATTCGTGATGAGAAAGGCCAGCAAGACCCACTCATTGTCAGAGTAGCCAAAGCCATACTGTAATTGCAGGTATAAGAAGTCCTTGGAACCTTAAAGGACCATTGGTGTGAATGATGGCCCTGCATGCAGTGGTCACATGTGGCCTGTTCTTGCTTGGCTTTATGTCCTATGCCAGTTGGTGTCGGCACAACAGACCTCACACACATGGTTGTGGAACTTAGAGCAGACAGCAGTGATGGCGTTTCACAGTATAGACTATTCAAAACCTCACCAAAATCATTTAAAACCATAGATGAAGGGGGCTGAAATATTAATAACCTGAATACAGTTCCACTGAGTTTGGACCATTTGGTAATTTCAAAGTCTAGTTTCTGCCTTTCCTTAAAGGCTGCTCACCGTCCCCCATGCCCACAAGTCTGTTACTGCCTATGGCCAAGGGTAAAAGTTCCTCTCTGGTATACTTTCATAAGTAGGCAATTAACCAAGAGCTCTTGCTACTTTATTAAGATTTTAGATTTTGTGCAGAGATAAGGAAAAAATATATAAAGCTTTCTGTCTATCCCCAATCCAACTTCTGCCTCTTGATTTCTCTAGGAAAACCTTAGCTAAGCATTAAAATACAGCATTCAGAACAGTATCTGGCCTCTTCCTGACATTCCAGAGACATATTTGAAATAAGTAATGCCAAAAGAAGCTAAAAATGGTGAAGGAAATTACAGAAGTGTTTGACTGTCATCCAAAAGATTCTAGCAGTTGACTCAGAGGAAAATGGCCCTCCATTCCCCAACCACCCCAGGCCCTGTGCCAAGGAATACTGCAGACTTTAGTGGAGTGGCAAAATAGATAGCAAGTGGCAAAGTAGTTTTGATTGGAAGTAGAACTTTTTCTTTATGTGTTCAGTTGCTTCATAATAAAAAAATAAGGAAAGAAAAGAACCAAGAATGATTTATATTTCTATTATGATGGACTTCATTCCATCCATCTTTTCTAGCAAACGGGGCCTTTCAACACTTAAATACTTGACTCTCAAGTCTCCCTCATGATCTCCTGTCTCTGCTGAAATACAGGGAACAATTCCTCGGGTTATGAATGAGCATGAAATCTGACACCCTTTCTTCCCCTTTTCAGACATGACTCATTGCTCTTGTTGCAATTCCCAAGGCCCTGAAGCTCTTCTTTAAAGTGCGGAGACAAAGGCAACATCTTCAATTCCAGCTGGCTTATCCGGAGAGCTCTGACAGTGCGCAGCCGCGGATTTCCTTATGCATTGTAAAACTAAGTGCTCTGAGGGCCTAACCTCCCCCACCCTGGAGGGACAGGTGCCACAGTGCTGGAAAGGGAACAAGACTGGTAAGCTTCGAGCACAGCTTATCAGTTTTCCTTAGCCTCTCATTATCTCCAGGGTGTTATTGAACACTAGCTTTGGGAGTATTTTATTTTATTTTCAAGGTTTGAGATCTTCTTTCCTCCAGACTCCTCTGCCTTTGAGTACAAAGTGTAAGTGATCTGCAGTCTTTCTTAAAACCTAGTCTCATTTAAAATCTGACTTTTGCTGAGTAAAATTACCATTCCAACCCTTAGATTTGAAAAGTTTTACAGTAGATATAAGAGGTCTTGAAATCCAAGAGTAAATTCTGTGGTCTTTCAAGCAATAGTTAAAACTCCACTTGAAAATTCAAAAGAATAAATAAAAGCCATGACTGTGTTACTTTTCTAGAAACATTTTATCCCAAGAGAAACTATTTTTTGTTTTGGAAGATGACAAGAGTAGAAGTTAAACAATTATTTTTTTAAGTTACTTTGAAGGAAAGAAAAAAGGAAGGAAAGAAGGAAGGAAGGAAAGGCCAGTAGAAGCAACTAACTGCTCCACTGGAGAAGTTATTTCAGCAAATGTTCATTGTCCCAGGGAGAAACGTACCCCTACTTTGCAGTTTAGCATTTGCACATTTAGAAGCTTAAATATTTTTCACTTGAAATGAACCAAATGGTATAAATTAGATATGAACACATGCAGTTACATTTTACGATTAAATACAAAGTCAGGATGCTGATAACTGCTGCTCAGATTTCATATCATGACAAGGTAACATTAACTTGTAGCCTATTTGAAATTTCCAGCTTCCATGGTCTTTTTATTTTTAAATCACTTATTGTGATAACCCCAGAGAAGTATAAAAGTCAACAATTTAATAATATTAGTAACTTTATGGTTTACTTGACAGTTATCTTTGATGCAATTACCTGTTTGTGTTAGCATTGCTATTGCTGTGATGAAACATCCTGACCAAAAGAAACCTGGGGAGAAAAATGTTTATTTGGCTTCCCCTTTCACATTATTGTTTTATGGAAGAATGTCAGGACAGGAGCTCAAACAAGGCAGGAAACTGGAGGCAGGATCTGATGCAGAGGCCATGGAGGAGTACTGCTTACTGGCTTGCTCCTCATGGTTTATTCAATGAGCTTTCTTATAGAACCCAGTATCACCCACCCAAGGATGGCTCCACCCACAATGGACTGGGCCCTCCCCCATTAAGCACTAATTAGGATTTTTTTTCTAGCCAGATCTTATGGAGGTATTTTCTCAGTTAAGGTTTCTCCTTTCAGCTGACTATATCTTAGGTCAAGTTGACATGATGTTAGGCAGCATTGATCATTTTACACGTAGAAGCCAAAGCTCAGAACAGTAAGTTGCCAGCTCACAATGGGATGAAGTTATAGCATTGGCAACTGAATAAAGGCAGTCTTACTCGAGGATAAGGTCAATAAAACTTTCCTATAAAGCACCAGGCATGAGGCTGCTGATGCAGCTAACTACTCAGCTTTTGCTGTGAGAAAGACAGCCAGCAGATATGTCACTGATGGAACATGACTATATTTGGATAAAACCTTATTTTAGACACTGAAATTTAAATCTTATATAATCCCCATGTGTCACACATATTAGCTGTTTCACATTTATTTATAATCTGGAGTTGTTCACAGCGTTTCAATTTGTTCTTTGCATCCTTTCCCAATTTAAAAATTCAAATATAATTGCTAAATTATATGATGGGCTGTACAAAATTGGGTGATAGGATGTACTGGACTCATAGGCTGCTTAAATCCAGGACTGATGGAAAGACTAAAGGAAAATTCTGAAGAAAGAAAGAAATGAAATGGTAGGGTGAGGAGGGCACTGGGATGAGGAGGGCACTGTGTTGAGGGGGGGCACTGTGATGAGGGCACTGGGATGAGGAGGGCACTGGGATGAATGAGGAGGGCACTGGGATGAGGAGGACACTGGGATGAGGAGGGCACTGGGATGAGGAGGGCACTGGGATGAATGAGGAGGGCACTGGGATGAGGAGGGCACTGGGATGAGGAGGGCACTGGGATGAGGAGGACACTGGGATGA